GACTATCCTGGACGTCCCATTGTGAAGAACGGCAAGTACACTAGCAACGTGATTGGAAACCTGAAGGCAGGCCACATTAACACAGGTTGATACAGAGTTACTGAGTCATTTACTCAGAAAAGTTGCTGCATGCCTTTGATTGGAGGCCTTCAGCTCCAACGAGCTTGCGTTCCTTTCCATGCTCTTCTTCGGTGTTGGTCTGTATGGCAACCTTCAGTTCCTTGGCTGTTTATTTTTTTGTGAAAAAAAAATATATCCTTTGTGTATAGGCAATATATAGGACAGTTTGGGCCGAGCTTGCTGCAATGCCAACTGTTTTGGGCCATCCAAGGTTCAACTATTACGACCCCCAGTGGGCAAAGGTTGATGCTGGTGGATACTTCAACGCCTCTTACATTGTGGAGTCGCTGCTGTTGCCCATCTCCTTCTTCATGCACATTGCCTGCTACATTCAGAAGCAGAACGGCAAGTAAGCACCAAGCAGTTGGCCGAGTCAATTGGTTCCAAAAGCTGAGCCTTTTTTTGAAGACGGCTGCATGCTTGGCTCAAAAAGGGAGCGGACGTTTCGGTGTCAAAGGTGCCATTCTGATCAGCCTGTGCGGACGGAAGTACCTGCGAGTTCTCTGCTGGGAATGCAATGGCAAACTGAGGCGTCTGCTTGACAGCAGCCATGGCCATGAGTGGATTCAGAAGTGTCGGCCTTCATTTCGTTCGGACGGTTTTTCCGACTAAGTGCAGCACACAGTCACAGTGTGATCACAGTGTGATGGCAAAGTTGTACGCAAGGATCAGATAAGCTTGGACAGACTATTTGATTTATGACTTACACTGTGAACATGGGTGGGGTGCTGTGTCTTTCAACAAGGTGCGATCATTTCAGCTGAGGTTTGGCAAGATGCTCCACCTCAGGCCTCTTTGATTGCGAAGTTCTTTTGATTTCACAAACGAACCTGACGAGTTCAGCCGACGCGTCAAATCGATATCTTTTGTCGCTTTGAAGGCGCAGATGGATAGGAGGCCTTAATGCTGTCTGCTCAGTGTATGCTGTGCTAAATCTCAGCCTTGTGATGGCACACCTTCACAAAGCCGTGCTTGCAAATAGGATGAACATAGCATATGGGAAACGGGTATCGGTATATGAAATAGCAAGCCGTCTTGCGCCATTTCCGAGTCAGCAGATGGGTGCAAGTCCCCATCCGGTGCCTTTTCCATAGCCACACTCAGCTGCAAGTAGCCAAGCAGAAGCAGTTGTTCACTGACTTTGCGAAACTGACGGAAAGGCGAACGGCCTCCTTGAGGCTATTATCTCATGGCTTCCGTAGGAGGGGACAAACAAATAGTCCAATAGCTGCTTTTGAGGGGAAGCAACTTTGATCCTGAAATAAATCAAATTTACACATTTCTTCGTCTTCGTGGGCAATACAGTGACAGGGGAATACTCGCTGCGAAATGACACGCTTTGTCGAAATTGTGTGAACCCTTAGCCTTAGCCAGTCCGAGCTGGTTGCCATGCAACGAGCAGGACATCAGCGGCATGGCTGTCTGAAAGCGTTCGTTTGGCGTATGCTTGGCGACACCTTTGGGGAGTCCTTCTTGGATTTGTACTGGCCGTTGGACAAGCTGCACTGTGCCATCTACGTTTGCTTTTTGGTCTCCTTCTGTTATGCCTTTCTTTGGCTGTCCAGATTTGCACAGCTTCAGTGTGGCGTCTATCGCATCTTTGGGGGTTCAACGGCCAATTGCAGCTTTGAGGTGATCGGTTGTTTGGTGTATCTTTGGATGGCCTTCCTGTCTTTGAAGTTGATTTGGTATTACGACGACCTCAATGGGGATCGTTACCGTCAGCTCAAGGCCTCATTTTTTAAATCCTTTTTAGCACTGCTCAGTAACTTGCAGAGTGCAAAGAAGACGATCCACATGCTCCACGAAACCATGAGGGAAGTCCAAGACTCTGCGTACCGGTCACAGGTTCAACCTGCGGTAAATATGCTACGGGTCTGCAAGAAGCGTGACTTCACAGGCTGCAGTGGTCTCGAGGATGCCGTGGTCACATTTTTTGTCAAGCTTGTACCCGCAGTCCGAGGAGACGAGGAGACGGTTGCGGCGTGAACTGCCAAACATTGGCGAGGCAAATCTGTCCAAGAACCTCTCTGAGGACATCATCAAGCAGTGGCAAGTCTTTCATGATGCGAAGAGAAGCTCCCTGGAGGCCTGTCAAAAAGGCAGAGGCCTTCGCATAGAGAGTGCCCATACCCTGGAGGAGGTCAAAACTTTAGGTTCACATGGAGAGGTGAAGAGTATGCAGCTCTATGTGCAGAAAGAGAACTCATTGGAGGAGATTGAGCTGGACTTTGATGTAGCCAACGAAGAGGTACGGCGAGAGGCTTTGCTCAGAAAATGGACTGAAAGAATGGAGAAATCCAGACGGCTCAACCCAGATAGCACTCATCGGCAATCATTCCATGCGCTAATCTCCGACAGCAAGCCAGTTGAGGGTGACTTCTCCTTGCTGCCGATGTGTGGCCTGCATCGTTTGCGCTGCTGCCTTCCCAGCATTTGTTATCACATTCCGCGGTGCTTGCAGAGATGCACATACCGGAGGGATCAGCTGCCGCTTCTTGAACGTCCGCAGTATGATGATAGAAGGTGTTCTCTTGGTCTTTGCTTTGTGAACTTGGTATCTCCACTCCAAGAGCAATTGCTCACGACACTTTGTTTCGCCTCAGCTTCCTTCCTATTTAATTTGGCAACAGTCGTTGTTGGATCTTTGGATGGTTGCCAAACGGACATACTTCCATGTGGCGTGTTGTTGTTTCAACGAAGCCTCAGTGTTTTTTGCACATTGGTTTTCATGGCTTCCACGGTCTACTGCCTTAAGCGAAATAATTTCAAATGTTTGGAGCCCTTGGTGACCTTGTTCGAGATGACTTCCGCACTGGAGAAGCTGGCTCGACAGGCAGAGGACTTCCAGGAGGTTCTTGGAAGCACCGATGAGATTTGCCAGAAGATCCGTGCCACGGAAAAAGCCAAGGAAGCACCCTTGAAGTTCCTCACAAGTTTCTCTGACAGCCATGGTCGCGATGACGAGGATCAGATGAAAAAGGATGTGGAAGGGTTCTTAAGTGCGATTGAAGCGCAGTGTTGACAATTGTACAGCAACTAGGAGCTGTGCGTCGCAAACGATGCCAATCCTGCGCAGTGTTTGGACGCCAGCTAGCAAAAGTTGCCTTGAATGGGACAGCAGGTGACAGCTTCTTACAACACTCTTGCGTCTTCCAAAAGAGCTTGCCACTCATGAGCCTTTTCAGTTGAGGCGTTCAATGAGACTATCCAACAGCATTCGTTAAGGTTGGAGCCTTGGATGTGAATCGCCAAGCATCGCAGTTTCGACCAACCACTCATGGAGAACAGTGGGTGCTTTTCCGATTCGAAATCTTTCGATTGCATCCATTGGGGCCGGGTCATTAGATAACGTCCACAGCATTTGATTCGTTCTAAAGGCATGGAGTGAAGCTTCTTGCAGTACGTCGATCTGTGGAGGCCCCTTTGACATGTCAAAGCTATGAGTCACCGTATTGACCCTGTAGTCAATACAAACATTTGTGACGCACTGCTTTCAATCAGGCATTCAGCTGATAAGAGCCAAGAAAACCTTGCTTCCTAATAAGCACAATTCACAATTGTTTGCAATGTCATGGTTTGCATCTATCAACACAATATATGCAGCATCCTGGTAGGCTAAGACGCACAACCTGCAAAACACGACCGTTTGCAGCTACAATGCCTCCATTGTGGTCTGACACCCAAGAGCTGGTTCCAGTCGAATCAGCTCATGAATCACTGGCCATAAATGGCAAAACAGAGGGCTGACTTCGGGGTTTGGAGCAGCTCAAGTGTTTGCAAGGCTCACAAGAAGACGAAAAGATGGGTTGGGAACCTTAGCTTTTCAGTTCAGCCTGGGTTTCCTGGAACTCACCAGCCGATGCGAGTGAGCCTAAGGAGTAGGACTGGAATCGCCTCACGCGTCTTTCGTGAGTTTGTTTGAGGCCCACGTGCTTCAACTCATTGAGGAGATGTGGATTCATCGATGCACGTTCCTGCCCTGATGGCTTGACCAAAGCCTGTAGTTTGTGACTTCCAGTCTATGCCTTGTGCTTTTGCAAGGCCTGATCAATACACATACAGCAGTGCCATCAGCACTTGTGATGCAGGTGGGCATTTTCATTTCAAGTGGTTTGACAAAGTCTCAAGGTGACTTCTTGGCGATTGTTGCCATTTATGCCGCAGCACGTGAGGTCCATCCTGGTCTTATGCCATTGCCTTAGCCAGCCAGATGGTGGAGAAAGAGATAGAGCCTTGAGCTTGGTCTGAACATGTCTGAAAAAGATATATCTTTTTTGTTGTGCATGTTGCATTTTGAACATGCTCAAACCTTTTTGAGCCAGTGCTTTCTCTCTGCTCAGGCCCAACTCAGTCACCACCAGCGCTCTCATTAGCTCTTGCTCCCGCGCTTCTCAGTGGCAGCCGTGATCCTAAAGAGCGTGTTTGTTGGCCTTCACAAGTTGTCATGAATTTTTGGCACTTGTGCTTGAGGATGGCGCCTCACTTGCCCACATAAGATTTAACTCACCTGCGCACACAGCCTTTTTTTATACATTTAACTCACCTGCGCACACAGGGTTCGCTCAGCTGCGCACACATCGATTACATTCTTCTTTAAACAGTGCATGTTACCTCCAACTCATCTGCGCACACAGACTTCGTTCACCTGCGCACACACAAATTGAGTCATGATGATCTCTTTTTGCTCATTGCTTCCACAGTACCACGTCACACAGATGCTCTGCGTTTGATTGATGATGTTGGGTTGGGATGGGGGGGGGGGGGGGGGGGGGGGGTGGGGGGGTGTTAATAACGTCCCTCTGGACATTCATCTACATGATGATCTCTTTTCGCTCATTGCTTCCACAGATGTACCATGTCCACAGTACCAGGTCCTCCAGGTCTGTGTGTCCTGCCTGGCCACGCCATGGGCCAGGTGCCGTGGGCCTTTCTTCTCAGCTTTGTGAGGGCGGCTTGTGAGGGCTACTAGTAGCAAGGACGCTACTAGGAGCAAAGGGCATCGCTACTAGGAACAAGAAGCTACTAGGGGCTCATGGCCTTACTACTAGGAGCAAGAAGCTACCAGGAGCAAAGGCCTTTGTCCAGGCCTTGTCCGGGTCTGTCCTGCTTGTCCGCGTTGTCGGCCCCTTCGTCATCTCCTTGTCCGGCCGTATCCCCTGCTTGGAGCTTTGTCCAGGTATGCTTTCGAGTGGTATGAATGCAACAACGATGCAGCATTTGATATCATCCTTGTATTTTCTCATGATATATATTTCTTTGTGTTTGCACATGTGACTTCGGGAATCAGGAACGATTCCTTTCTAACATTTTGTTTACATGCTGTTCCCAATGCAGACATTACCAACAACTTTGAAGTTCAAGCAGTTGACGCAAGAAACTGATGTAAAACCGTTTGGGGTCTATGTTGGTACAATTGTTTATTGTCAGGAGAGCCTTGGTTGTTTTTGAGTCCAGTTCGTGAGGAGCTCAGCAGTTTTTTCAGTGTCGAGTCGGCTGGTCAAGCCATTTCTTGACAGTATGATGTAGGATGTGACCGTGTAGTTCGCCGGATGGAAGTAAAAACGAGGCGGAGCAGTGTGGCAATCAGCAATGCTGCCATGGGGGCTTGTGTGGCTTGTCTTGCACGTTGGTGCGATGGTTTACTTGAAATGCACAGCAGATGCTGTCCTGGTACGTTGCACGGTGCTGTCAGTATACTCGGAACTCACGCTTTCTCCATCGTGGCGAGGAGAGAGAGAGAGTTCCGACGTGCCACGAGTGAAAGCTGGACCGGGCAATGATACCCCGCGTCGCTCTCCGTGGTGGTGGAACGACCGGGTCGCCCCGCCGCCTCTCGAGGTCAAGGCCTCGCGTTGGTCTTCCGCCTTGAAGCTCTCTCAAAGGACGGGTGCAACGTGGCGGGCCTCGCGAACCCACGCGGCACGTGGCGTCGCGAGGCATGAATATCGTCGGGTTGCTGCGCGAAGTCGCGGGTGCACGTGTCGAGATGATATTCACAGCTATATAATCATGTGGCCATGCTCTTTTGAGAATCTAATGTTTTGGTTGCAGATGTCCTTTCAAGGATGTGGCAAGAGAAACTGGAAATGGACCTGGTCAGCTTGAAGCCCAGTGGTGATGTTCCGGTTGCCCTGACAGTATAGCTTGGAAGATCATTTTCTCAGGTCAGGAGTTTCAGGGATGGGCCATGGTTGATTACAATGGTATAGACGGTATAGAGCAATAATGCTGTACATGGAAGCGAAGGCAGTGTGACAATGTTTCCAGGTCGGGATGCTTGCATGACTTGTACAGTACAGGAATGATAGGCAAAGCTTCAAGGTTCCAAACAATGGCAGAACATGAAGGCATGTACAGGATCACCTCCAGGAATGTCAGGTTGAAGGCCTTGAAGGCCCGCCCTTGAGGTTTCAACTCTGCCATCCATGCCTGTGATCAGGGAGGCGCCTGGGCACAGGGCCAAGTAGCAATTTTTGACTATTGATTGCCTTTGGTACAGGTAGAGTCCTTCAAACCCTTTGTGTTGTTTGAAGGATTTGAAGGGTTTGAAGGGTCAAGCTGTCAAGCTCCGTCTACGAACTTTGACTTAGCCGCTAGTCAGCTAGTGTGACTGGAACTGCTTCCTGTGGAAGATGTGAAACTTGTGAAGTGCTTGAAACCGGGACCTCAGGTCGCAGCCCTACGGCTCCTGAGCCAGATGGAAGACATTTCTCTTCAACCTGATACAGTCAGTGAGGTGCCCAGCATAACAAGACTGTTGGGCTCTCAGTTGTTCAAGAGCAGACCTTGTCCCTGAAAGATTGCTGATGATTCTCATGATCAAACAACATCAATAGTAGATTCTTTCTTGTAACATTTGCAGCGTGAAACTGCATCTTCTTGAGCTACCAGCTTGGGGTTGTTTGTGCACAGAAGACAGATAAACGCATGGAGGGCCTCCTGCTGATTTCCTCATAAGAGAAGCAGCAGGCATGCCCCGGTGCTTGCAAAGGCATTTTTCAATCCATATCTTCGTAAACTTTAGATATAGTTCCATACTTACTAGTCAAAACTGCTTTGCACCTTGATATCGCTTGCCTAAGAGTGGCTCAGCCGAGGTCTGAATGCAGCAATCAGTGCTTGCTCTCAGGCAAGTCATGTAGCCAATTGGTTCTTGATGAGTGAAAGGCTCCTCGCTCCGTCGTTGGTTTCTCGCTTTGTCCCTCGTCTTCTTCGCACTGATACGGATAGGGCCAACGGTGGGCGGCTGCTGTACATTTGCTTTCAGAGATGCCTGCGAAGAAGGCGAGGGAGGAAGGGAACTGAGAATAGTTGTCTACCGGTTATATAAACATTGAGGATGGTTCTGTGGAGAAGGGGTAATTAGGCCGGCAACACTGGATTGTTGGAAGGTCGTACCTGATTTGATTAGCGCTTGCCTCAGTGCATTCCAGGCAATTTGCATTGAATGCATCGAAGCAGGATCCCTTTGATAAAATTGTCCATTGGAAAAAGGAAGTCACTCGTTAGAGTAAATAAAGATAAAGCCAAGCAATGCTGAATATTCTCATGACTAAAAAAACGAGCTATTGTTGAATTGGAAAGTGTTTGCGTGGATTTGGGCAAGAAGCATGCCAAGGTTACGGATTGAGAATGAACACAAGTCACAGTTATTTTCATGAACGTTTCATGCCTCCTGAAATGTCTCATTGTCTTCAAAGGAGTCCACCTTTGAGGTTACAATGCCACGATGAATGCAGCCAAAGCAGCCAAGCTTTGGCCTTTGTCGCTTCATCTTCTTGATCAGGTGCTGAGTGACACCGATTTTGAGTGGGTCAAAACCGCACACCCCAAAGACTAGGCTATCCAATCATGTTGTTCAGTACCAATCATTTTCGGAGGAGACAAGTGGAGACAAGGCAGCAAACCAAAAGGGTGATCACATAGGCAGACAACGTGAGATATGCAAGGAGACAAGTGGGGAGACAAGCCAAAACCGCGATCGCGCAGGCAGATAAATGGGGAGATACAGAGAAAATATATAAGTGGGAAGACAAGCCAAAACAACACAGGCAGATAAGTGGAGAGATATGTAAGGCGACAAATTGGGGGCACAGCAGCTGCAAACCAAAACGGCGATCACACGGGACACGTGTATATTCCCTGGCGTCAATAGTCTTGAACTTGCTTCACCTGGAATCTGTATCTGGTTTATTTCATTTGATCGTCTCGGTCTTTCTGGCTCTGTCAAGGAGCTGGAAAAGTAAAGCATTTGGGAAATACGTTGGGAAACTTTGGGTCACAAACCCATAGCGTACCGGGTGTGGGATGGGAAGGATACTTTCCGTCTCATTTCTTTACATTGCGGTGCCATTGCTGTGATATAGGGTTTTACTTGTAGCCAGCACGCTGCAAAACACGATTTTGCGAATGCTTGGCAACAGTGGCTTCCACGCTTGTCCGTGCTTCTGACTTATGAGTCGAGACTTTTGTAGCCACTTTTGTTCAGTCCGTGCAGCCGAAATGGGTTTATCTTGCATTCCCCCTCTCAGCGCCAGCGATGGCCAAAGCATTGTCGGCGACCATCATCCTGGCCGCCTTTGCATACAGTGTATGCAGTGAGGCTGCTGAGGTGGAGGTTTGCAAATACATGACGAATACCTACACTGGCAAGCATCAGTACTTCAACCAGGGGGTGTGCACACAAGTTCTGCACGGCTCCGCAGTTGCATCATCTGAGAGCCCACAGCCAGTTGCCTTTGTCTTGACAGTGGCGTGCGTATCTGATTCTTGCGGGGAGTGCGATGGTGATCCTGTGAAGTTCTACGGCCAGTGCAATCAAGGCTCTTTGACAGGGTACATGTTTGACGGTGCTCTCTTCAACATGACAGGCGTTTTCGTCGGTCCACTTGACGGTATCTCGCTTGTCATCGATGCGGGTGGCCACATTGACAGTCACTATGAGTTCAACAGGACAGGCCTTGCTGCTCTCGCGCCGCTTCATGTGTGACTGCAAGGGGGGCGTAGGTGCCACTGCAGCAGGCAGGCTTTGGCACAGCATCCATCTTGACACTATGAGCTCGACCAGACGGGCCTTGCGCTCGCGCCGCTTGATGTGTAAGTTTGTGGGCATATGCGCCTGCAGCAGGTGCACAGGCCTCACATTTTTCATGGCCGCTAAAAGGAGGGATTGGTGGGCCTGGTCGATGGTTCGTCGTCGTCGGTTCTGGATAGACGACATTGAGCGCCAGACGGCAAATCCATCATCAAGCGACATGAGCGCCGGTGTCACTGGGTCCGGTCGCTCCATGGGGCAGCGCCAGGTGCAAGGGTCAAAGATCACGCCGAATTTGATCTCCTTCAACACCGTCCTGGTGCGACCGTCGGCATACCTTAGCCTTAGCTGTCTGAAGAAAGCAAAATCCCATAAAATCCCATTGTTCGCATGCGTTTTCTATCGTACCTCCTAGTAGCAATTTGGATAAGATGTTTGAGCAGGAAGTCATTTGCAAGGTCGACTCACTTTTGTTGCTTAGACGATTTGATATAGTAGTAAGGTTGGTAGGTGATCATGCACTCCAAACGAGCACAATGATACTTGTGCCTCTCTACCTGCTCACGGCATGCTGCACCACTGTTTACTCAGTAAACTCTCGACTCTCGTCTTGGCGCATGGAGGCCGCCTGCGAAAAATCTGGACGGTGGATCTCAGCTCAACAAGTCCTGCGACAAATGAACGAGAATGCTCTTCCTCCTGACAGGCAGGCTTTGCTTGTTTTTTGTTGCAATGGAATGTCATGACTCATAACTCACGACAGTAAATATCATTGAGGCGCAGCTGGACTTCGTTGGCTTTGAACTCAGCTTTGGACTGCAGATGCATGCATGAATTTCATTAAGGTTGGTTCTTTCTTCCCATATGCAGGGTGCAAGTGGCCCCTGCATTTCCTTTCATGCAAGGTGGCATGCTTCTCTCGAGGGAGTAAATGGATGGAAGCTCATGGCACAATCCAGGAACTTCGCCTGGCCCCCAACACACCCCAGTGGCAGTCCTTCCCAACTGTTCGAATTTGTTTTCTACTAGGCTTCCAGACTATGCTTGCTCAGGTCAGATGCGCTTGCAACAAGACATGATGATTATTGGTGCAGCTGCCAGTGCAGCTTGTTTGAAGAGGTGATTACTTTCACACCAATGGGTTCAGTGAACTGATCCTTGTGCCTTCAACACGGGTGCGGGCCTTCCAGAGGCCTATCAGCGCGGGCATCAGTGGCTGTTTGCCATGGAGGTCTTCTCACAAGTGTCCGGAGACTGAGATTCGGAGATTGACAAGCTGCGCCGGTGTACAAGGCACCGGCAACAAACCATAAAGCCACACCAAAGGCAACCTCCAAGGCTTGGCCTGGGTCTTGTAGAAATAGACATGGACGGACAGAATCGGATAGGCCAGGAACATCCAGGAACCATTCGAGCAGTGTTGTGCCCAGGCTGAGTCTGAATCTCCAGCCTGATGAGCAGTTGTATAGCTCGGTGATTGCTGCTTCTGCCATGGCACTCCAGTGGGAGGTGCCACTGTCAGGATCCGGTGTTGGGAAAATGCCAGACGAAACATGTCAGCCAGGAGCAGTTAAAGAACGTCTTTTTCGTGTTGGTAGCGAGGCATAGAGATGTCCAGGGGCTGAGGTGAAGCAAGTCATGAGTCATGAGGTAGACATAGGTGTCTATGTGACAGCCGAAGTCTCCAGAAGCTTTCGGCATATCGAATTCAGACCAAGCTTGGCAACTTATAACGGCCTTTGTCCACCCTTCAACTAGTATTGGTTCACTGCTGAGGTTCTATGTCAATCTGAAACAAAAAGCCCCCCTTGGCAGTCCATGATTCGCAACCTTGTCAGACTGCTATGAGCCTTCTGCAGAGCATGCCAGCAAGGCGGGCGATGCGACGATGACGATGGCGTATTCCTTGTTCTGTCTTGGCAGAAGATTATGCAGATAAGATCAGTTGCACAGCTCGAAAAGATTGGTGGCATTTTTCTTCAGAGCAACCCCAGTTTTTATTCACCAAGGAGTTTGCAATTGTCACAGAAGCAGGCTTGTGGATCAAGTCTCAAAATGGACGAGCAGCAACGACATGCGGACTTTGGTGATGTTAGCCAGGCCAAAAAGCAAGATGTGGCCCCTGTTGCCAGCATGGTACAACTTGGAGAGGAGGACAAAGATCTAGCACAGTTTTGGTACGAGCCCCACACTTTGCGGTGTTTACGTGATCAGTGCCTTACAGAGGACGTGAAGCGGATTGCACTCTTGTCTGCTCCGTCCCTCTTCTTTGCACTGGAAGGAGAAGAACGAGCAAAAGCGATTCTTTTCGAATTCGATCGACGCTGGGAGGACAATGCAGGATTTGTGTTTTTTAATTATCGGGATTCTGGTGAGGATTCAGAATGGCTTGAAGCCTGGACTGGTAGCTTTGACCTTCTTGTGGCGGATCCTCCCAATTTGCAAATGAGCACCTTGCAGCAGTATGTGACGGTAATTCAGAAGCTCAGACGATCTCAGCATTCCAAGATCCTCTTCGTGACAAGTGCTGACTGGCGTCACTATCTCTTCGAGACTTTGGGCTTGATTGAAGTCAAGTTCAAACCATCAATGCCATCATCAGTCTGGTCCCAGTGCGGCAAGTTTGGACTGTTTTCCAACTACAGCGATGGGAGCTTGAACGCTGATAATCCAGCAGCTCCGATTGACGCTCATGAAGATGGCGAAGAAGACTACACTGGCTACTATCTTGGTTTGCCTGCTCATGAGATATGAGATGATATGAATATGAATGAATATATCGCGAATGAGCCCTTTCTCGATTGATGCGGCTGGCAAAGTCCAAACAAAGACCAAGCAGGAGAATTGGTCACCCCTTCCTTTTCCTTTGCAGCTTCAAACCTAATAGCGATGGCCTCCAAGTGATCCTAAGAAACCAGATTGATTACACTCAATCAGATTCAGATACGGTGTGTCCCGAAGTCCTTGCCGCAAGTTGACCGCATGAGCCTTGCTCACGCCCGCGGGCCGCCCTGGTCATCCCCAGCTGTTAGTCTTTGTGCTTTCTCCACACGTCGACTTGGTGGGACTGCTATGTTGGTCCAACCGACAACTTCGGACAGCTGCGCGCAAGGGATTCACGCTGTCTTAGTTCACGCAAGGGATTCAGTGGAAAAGTGCTGGAGATGCCGGGGGCTTGTGTGTTTATCGCCGTTGGACGTAAAGTTTTCCTTGGGCAGGATCTGAGGTACCAGACAAGGCCAACTTAGTGTCCTTTTTGTGAGACTGTTTGTAATTGTGGGCAGGTCAATAATCTAGCTATATTTGGATTCTGCCACACAAAGCCCAGTCAGTGCAAGCAATGAAAGGACCAAATTTTGATGGATCTTCATAGCTGGAGACACGAGCTCTTGAGTTTTTGCTTGGGGTATTGTAGAAGCAGGATTCATCACTTGGTTATATGCGTTTTGGTACCGATTTAATCTTTGATTTGGACTATGTAGGCGACAGTTCAGCTCAGTGACTCAGGGCAATGCCTGTGGTGAGCGATTACAAATGGTTTTGTTCGTGGTTGCTTTTTGAAATCCTCGTTTGATTTAAATACACCCTGCCTAGAAATGTCAGCCTTTCAGCCTGAGCCGGGAGGTTTTGATGACCAGCATCCATCTTGGCAACACCTTGCCTTCCCAATGCGACCGTCCGCTTTTGGAATTTCGGTTGACCGCAGGCGGCTCCAAACAACCTCTGCCAGTTGTGCTCCAGTCTTGACAGCCTTGCTGGAGCGGTACATCGGATTTGTCGGCGTTTCTCCAAATGCAAAGAGCCCCTAGTAGCTTCTTGTTACTAGTAGCGATGCCCTTTGCTCCTAGTAGCTTCTTGCTCCTAGTAGTACGGCCAGGAGCCCCTAGTACTAATAGCGTCCTTGTCCATTGTGAAACGTTGGGGGCAGTAGCTTGTCATCTTTATTCGTAGAGTTGCACACGTTGGTAGAGGAACATCATCGTTTGGTCATGTTGGCTGGATGTCATTATTCGATCTGCCAACTAATTAAAACTACTGCTTGGAGTTTGCCATGATTTCGCCCAGGAGGCGAAGCACTGGATGAAGGCTTTGGAGCTTTTCAATGAGCCTGGTTTGGTGGAAGCCCAAGGAATAGGTGGTTTCACTGTGCACACGAGCTCAAAGCGCCATGCCCCGCCAAAGCGACAGAGCTGGGAACTTGACGAGGCAAAGGACACGCAGATGTACAGTCGGATGGTCATGGTGTGCCCAACTCAGATGCACCGGGCGATCTACTTGGCTTACTTCGTCGATTCATGGAGCTGCAAGACATGTGGAAAACACTGAAATCGCAAAACAAAGACTGCAACTGTTGTTTCTCTTGAGATTATGTAGATACTTTGTTATAGCAAATTTCTTGCAGAACGAAGTTAGTTGCTGTGAAGTAATGCCTTTTTATGTCGTTGTTTTGGACCCTCTTAAACAATGTTTTATGTTGTTATTCTTGGTCTTTCTTTCTTCCACTGCCACTTGCTTTTACTAGGCTACAACTACGGATGTGCACCTTCCCTTAAAATTGTATTCTGTCAAGTATGAAAGTCTTATTTACCAAGGCAGCAGCTTTGTACTTGATCGTTTGTTGAGAAACATGCGTGGTCAGCACATTTCTTCACATTTTAGTTGTTTCCACTGCTTTCATACTTTCCATGCAGCGCATACACGGAGCGCAAATGAACAGCTGATGCAGCATTTCATGATCCTGGCAACTCTACATCTTGAGCTTGGCAACACTTCCAAGAGGTGCATATCTAGACTCACATGGCTCGTAACACCTGTGTGTGACTTGAGAACATTTGACTCAGAAACTCTGTTGGCCATATGAAAGAATGAAAGACATAGGACCCGATCCGAAAGCAGAGCTCCACAAAATCTCTCCAGCAAATCTACCTTCCTCGCAACCAAGTGTTGGCAGCTAGCAAAACAGTCTTCTGCAGAATCATGGCAATCTGAGCCGGACGTCGACTGTGCCTTGGGCTCCTGAATCCCTGTGCAATAGGAAAGCAATGCAGTTTCGCTTCAGAAGAGGACTTTGGGGCTTCGGTGTGAGCAACTGGCACAAAAGGTCATGGCACAGGTAGGAGGCAGACCGTTCACTTTGTCCAACATGCCATGCAAGCCCCACCAACGCAAGGCAAGCCGTGCCACGCGTGAGATCTGTGGGGCATGTGGTTGACACAGTCAGCAAATTAGACAAGTGAGTGTAGGAAAGTGGCCCACGAGTTAAGTGCCACTTGAACAACTACTTTTTGACAACAAGCCTCAGCAAAGCCTCAATGCATAAATTGTAGTTCAAACTTCTTCTCAACATGCCCGTTGAAATCAGATAGAGAACCAGTCAACCAAGCGCACGCTTCTGAGTTGTTGTTCCACCGAGCTTGGGTGCTGGTGCTAGACGCCGTTGTTGTGTGCGCTGTGTGCGCTTGAGCTGGCGCCGCTGCAGTTGTGGAGGTTGGTGCTGGTGGTGCCACAGAGACCAATACGTTGCAGGAACATGTTTCAATCATTGACATAGATTAAAAGAACTCAGCCAAGCTGTTTTGAAAGGGCATCGACTTCTCTGTGTTTTGCACCGCGGTACATAGTATTGGAGTTCCGATGGTGAGAAAACCAGGGCTCTCTGGGAAGAACTTTGGCGTCAGGTCAGGCAGCTCCAGCTTGGGGGAGAGCAGTGCGCGGTCTTATTTGATTGCAACTCACCTCGGCCGCCGGGCCCGAAGCTTTTTCTAAGGAACTGGTTCAACCAGTCCTGTCGCCAATAGCTTCTCTTCACGAGGAGCAGCGTGTCATGTCGCCAATCCTGTTCACAGGAGCGTGACAATCTCCAGATGTTTCATTATGAACAAAGACACCGAAAAGAGAGCTGTCGAAGAATGCCGTGCTCTCTAAAGAACACGCATCATGCAAAAACATGGGGTGAAGTGGGAAGCTTTGAGCATTGGGAGCCAAGAAGAAGAACATGTACGAGAAGGAACAAAAGTTGCGCCACGCCCAAGTCCCCCAATGATTCTGTACTGGTGGTGGTGACGTCGCCCACTTTCCTTTTCAAGGTGCGCTAACGGCTTTGCAATCCCACTTGTACACCTCTAAAACTTGCAAAGATAGCTGCCCTTCGTACTTCAAGCTCCACTTGGCACGCTTGCCATGCAGTCTTCACCAGCATTCTTTGCAAACAAAAACAGAAACCAGCGCTGTGAGCGTGTGTATTTTCAATGTTTCTTATGCAGAGGAAAATCTAAAACTTTTAAGTATTTCCTATGCACGGGAGAATATGTGAATACCAAAAATACCAAAAATACCAATCCTCTGGAGACATATAGGCCACCTGAGTAGTATTTCGTCTAGGTCTTTGGTATTTTTGGTATTTCTTTGGTATTTTTGATATGTTTGGTATTTTTGGTATGTTTTCTAGGTTTGATATTTTTGGTATTTTTTCTAGGTCTTTGGTATTGTTGATATTTTTGGTATTCTTGGTATTTGGAGGGAGGGCTAACTATTCCTCTACAGGATGTGCATTTTTTTGTATTTTTGATATTTTTGGTATTTTTGGTATTTGGAGGGAGGGCCAACTATTCCTCTACAGGATTGTTTTTTTTTTGTATGTTTGACATTTTTGGTATGTTTTTGTATTTGGAGGGAGGGCCAACTATTCCTCTACAGGATTTGTATTTTTGGTATTTGAGGGGGGGGCTACTGTTTTTCTTGTTTCTCTTTTGGAGTTGCTCTCCTGATATTATATGTGGCTAAGTATGGTCTAAACGGCCTAAGTCCGGCTACGGGTCGCCATACTTATATAGGTGGTACTTGGTAACGTTGCAGTGTAGTTGCTAAGGTTAGCTAAGTTTTGATAAGCTTTGCTAAGTGCAAGCTAGGTTTTGCTAAGTTTGCTAACGTTTGCTAAGTTTTTGTAGTTGTTATATTCAATTTTGAAAGTGTTATGGTTGGCTGTTTTGTTGTTCGAACTCGGTTGTTGATTCAATTGTTGAATGAAATCAGATGGTTAGATGTGGTGCGGTTGAAGGAAGGTTGGCTTGGCATTGATTTGGATGTAATGTGTTCTTCTTCTTTGTTTCGTTTAATTGGATTGGAGTTGATTAGGCTAAATTTGTTTTGTTTTTTGGATTGGAGTTGATTGGATATGACTGGATTAGATTTAACCGGACTGGATTTGTTGATTTAGCTACGGGAAAAGTAACAAAGACATGTACCACAAGCGCGTCAAATCTCAACAAAAAGATACCCAACATGTTTTCAAGCATGTGCATCTCCAGTGAGCCGTCTAGGCAAGCAACATAGATTTGGTGAAAGCCACTTGCCCAACAACAGGGTTATCAATTCAATTACAACAGGTCCAGCTCAAGTTTTGCCGCGTGGCTGCTTATCCAGATATGGTTCCCGCTGTTCAGGAACAATTGTATCTTCAACTTGCGGTTGCCCAAGCGTCCCTGAACATGCGCAGCAAGCGTTGGCATTCAACACCGTGCGCCTGTGGCAGCTCTTGTTGCTTGTGTTGTACTGATCGTTTCTATCCAAATGCCAACGAACTTTGCTATAAGGTCACCAGCCCACAGCACCTCCCCAACCAACAGCCTGCTCAAAAGATGGGAGCTGTGCCAATATCGTAGAGCCGACCGACTGCCCGTGTCCACATGCCAGCTGAAGAAAACCCAAAGATGTAATCAGGACTCCAGTCAGTATTAACTTGAAACAACGCCTCACTGCTGAGTGATCAAATGTCTTCAAACCACCACCCACTTTCCAATCATGCAACGGCGAAAACAGAGTGAACCAAGCCCAGAGAAAAACATTCACTTCTAAGCTTTGATTTGGAAAAAGTCAGGTGTGAGCAGCACAACCTGGTGGAATTGAAGCAGCCCCTCTTGGAGTCTTTGGTCCATGACCTGGCTGCCTCTGCTGACCAGCAGAGTCTGTGGGCCCCAGCTGAGTGGACATGTGGACATGTGAAGGGCTTTTTTGTTCTTGTGAAACATTGGCGCAAGTTCGAATTTCCCCATGTCCAACATCAGTCTACTCGCAGACAGTTATCATAGAATTTCATGGGTTGAACTTCCAGGGATGACACGAGATGCTGCAGAAAAACCTGATCAATTGTACATATTGTACCCAAAAGGCCCTAAATAGTTTATCTAATTTCTGTTTCTCTAGAAGGTTTGGTTTGTTTTTCCATCCAACTAGCTTTCTTGAGGGCATTTCTTTGTGGGAGACATGTACCGACGCGCTGTGCCCCAAGGCCTCACCACATTGGTCGCCGGCCGGTCGGTTTCACGTAGACCCGGTGCACGGGCGCGGGATGTGCCACTCTCTGGGAGCGTGCCATGGCGGCCGTATGCCAAGGAGGGAGGGAGTTCGGTTTTTTCGATTGAGTTCCGTCTTAGAAGGCTTGAGGAGGCAATTGGACGATGTGTGTCATTTTTCACTGAAATCCAGAGAACCAACGCCAACCAGAGATTGTCCTTTTCTAAGGTCCAATATTTTTTTAATTGCAAAATATTGTTTTCTTTTTTTTAAACCAAGTGGTGAAGAGGACTCGATCTGAAAAGGAGATTCGCCTCATGGAGCACATCTTGGAGACGGCCGTACAAGGCGATCCGGCCTCCGTGTGCGCGGACCCCCGGCGTTGGCGTTCAACCGCTGAGGACGGCCCCATTTAGTAGCAAGAAGCTACTACTAGTAACAAGTGCTGTACTACTAGTAGCAAATAGCTACTAGTAGCTTCTTGTTACTTGTGGTCATGCCCTTGTTACTAGTAGCGATGCACTTGTTACATCTTGTTGGTGGTGAAATCAAGAGCTAAATGTCTAAAGGCTCTAAGGCCTGGCAAGGCCTGGTTGGTAGTACGGGGATGACCTGGGATGTTTGGAGGAGGCCCCCGCAGGGCAATTGGAGTCCTAGCTTGCCAAGGTGATGCCTTCGAGAGCTTTGGTTTGAACATGTCAGGCTGGACTGCTAGATGGCAGAGGAGACATCCGGCAAACAGTGTCGTCACAGAATCGTTGCTAAATTTCTGCTGCACTAAAAGTCGAATGCGCGACCTCCAAAGCCGTTGGATTTGTGGCAGTTGATACACTTTGTTGCTGGACAGCTGGGAAGAATGGACAGCAGCTGCTGATTTACATAGACCACTCTGAGCCTGGAAAGACTTAAAAGACACATGAAAAGACAGATGAAAGGCATTAGGACTTAGGCGACAAGCATCCGATCTGCAGACATCATGGGTATTCGCATTGGTCTCGCTTTGGGCGCCAGCGACTCCTCCAAGCTGTGTCAACACTGGTGTTTTTTCTTTTTCCTTTCTGTGTGTCGGCAATGGGATGAGACGCGGCTTGCGCCCGGATGGACATGCGTAGCTTGGCTGAGTGTGTAGCAAGGAAGGTTCTGCCAGTGGTAGCAACCTCCATGTTTTTACCCATGTTTCTGCTTCTTGACAGAATGCCCTTGACCATGCTCAGATCTTATCAATGTTGACCATGAAAGCTGTGAGAGCCATGAGAAGCCTGCGCCCTTCTCGAACTTAGCTGCACACAGGAGGCTCGGGATGAGGGCAAAAAACAAGCCGTCAGACAGGAGTGGCAATTTTTAGGCATGAAACTCCTTTCTATCGATACTTAGTTTCGCAGAGACTCCCATTCCTTGGCTATTGCTTTTTGAGCTCAATGAAAGGATCGGTTCCAGAACCTTCTTTTGCAAGATGCCTGGGATTTTTGCGAGCTGATCGAGTCGTCTGCAGCTTGCTGAAAGGCTAATCACGATCAAATACATGGGCGAAGCGATGTGGATTTTGAGCGAGGCAACATGGATCCTACTTCTACCGCAGGCTCGGTGCACCGTTGTTCGCAAGGTGACTCTGCAAGGGTCCTTGCTTTTCTATCGAACACATGTCATATTCGAGATTGTCTGAAATGCTTTTGTTCTGGATTGGAGGTTTGCATGCCAACTTCGTTCCTTGCCCTGGTCTTTATCTCTTGGGCAGCAGCACTGGACTTCAGAGAAAGTAAACAGCCTGGCGTTTGGTTTCCCTCTGCAATGCAGGCGTGTGAGACGTGTCGGCAGTATCTGGCAGTACTCAACAGATATGAAACACATGGGATTGCAGGCCTTTTGGCTCTTCTGGAATATGATTTGGATGCTAGATGAGGCACCTCAGCCAGAGTCAGGTGAACAAGCATTCTCAACAAGCAATCCCTAAGGATCCTTAAGGATTGCGTCACGCATCGGTGGCTTTTCTTTGACCTGTTCTTTGTTCGTTTATTTCCATTTTGTCTTTTGCTACGACTGTGCCTTTTGCCACCCGCTTTTGCTGCATTGTTCAGATCCTTTTTGTATACGCAGGTATTTTGGGACGAGCCCGATGAGCAGACTCCTTGGGCCCAGACCCCGCTTTTTGGAGAGAATGAGAAGAGATATGCTGCAGTGCAAGAGTACTGATCCTTAGCAGCTGTTGGCAAACAACTGTTACTGTTATTTAGTATTTTCTTTTCCTATAAACCTAGGAATCAATTGAATAGCTCCCCTCCGTCCTCTGTCCTGCTACTGGTAGCGTCTTCAGTGCCAAAAGCTGCTACTAACTAGTAGCCTATACCTCTTCCTCTAGCGGCCTACCGCCCCGCCGCCGCCGCTCCCCCTCTTCACCAAAAAAGACAAATCTGAGGTAAGAAGTTCTTCTTTCTGGCTCCACTTCTGTGGATCTCGGCAGTGCTATATCAACTCTTCAAGGGAATTAGCATCAAGGCAGATGAGCAATTGGACCTTTCCCGAAGATTGTTTGACGTGATCAGACGGATTCATGTAGACCTTTGATTGACAACACCCCCTACCACAATGGTTTGACATCTCCATATGTGGGGTTTTATTGATCAACATTAGGAGGACAGTTTTTCTACCCAAGCCTTTTAAACCAAGAGCTCCAGCGGTCCACATTTTTTGGGCTCCAGGCCACCAAGAGCCGTTCCACATACTGCTGGCGGTCGAATGTGCGAGAATTGCTTTGGCATTCCGGATACATTGCCATGTGGTGACTCTCTTGGCAAGGGAGAGACAGGTACATGTTGCGGCTCCAAGCATTCTAACAAATTCTGACAAAGCCCTATGTAGTTTTCCTTCTCCCGAACAACTCCCAGAGATCTGCACCCCTGGGATTGCTGATGTTGACCAGTGAAAGATGGTGTTGGCTCTTGCACAGCTACAATATTATGTCAGTCAGCCTATCCGACAACCCTGCAGTGACTTGGGTGTTGTTTTGGTGTCGAGGTCCTCCACTGATGGGTTTTGGGCATGCGGTTATTTGTGGTCAGCGACCGCCAGCGCGGTGGCCGCAATCTCAGACAATTCTTTGGCCACCGAACTTAGCTGTTTCACAAAATAAGGACTAGTTACGTCCGAGACATGTGATATAGAATCATTAATGAGACCAATTAAAATAAAACGTGTTCCTGTAAAGATGAAATCGGATGGGGTCATGATTGGCATAGGTATCAAAAAAAATTCCTATCGAATCAATAAAACAATATTTACCGAATCAAACAATAAATATTTACTGAATCAAAAAAAAACTATTCGTTGTGCGATGAAATCCCTTGGAATTCCCAGTCGTGTAGGTGGCCGGTCCTCTGGTCCGCTGGTCCCCTGGTCCGCTGGTCCTCTGGTCCGCTGGTCCTCTGGTCCGCTGGTCCTGGTCCGCTGGTCCCCTGCAGTCCGCTGGTCCACTGGTCCGCTAGTCCCTTGGTCCTTTGGTCCTTCGTCTTTCTTTCTTTCTTTCTTTCTTTTTCGTAGCTGTTCTCCTTTCTCTTTTTTGCTTTTGCTTTTCCTTTTGTTCGCTTTGCAGAGACGAAGCCAAGCAAGGAAGCGAGCAAGCAAGGAAGCAAGCAAGCACGAGCTGCTCACCTTTGGATCTGGTGTGCTGCTGGGGGGGGGGCTGCGCCCCCCCC